ATGGCCTAGTCACCCCATATTAGGCTCCGAGCCCCTCGGTGGGGACGTATAGTGAGCTGGTGATGATGATGGGCAGCGGTCGCTTCGCTATTTTGACGGACTCAGGTGGCCGCTTGCTCTTTTGTCACCTCATGTTATAAAAAAAAGAACACATTGACTGTGGAAGTTTTTATTTAATTTCGCGCAGACGAAGTTACAGACAAAATCTAGTTATCTGCTATCTACAAATGAGCATGATATATCCAAAACTTTGAAAATATAATTAATGCTTCGATAAGAAGGTTTTCCCCTCATTTTCAGGTTCTAATTAAATAGGGGCTCTACCGGATTACTAAAAAAAATAAAAGTTTGTTTTTATGCTATCAAAATGTATTAAAAATCCATTTAATACGGGGATTCACACTTCCTCGAATCGACGCGACGTTCCCGAGCTATGTTTGTACAAGATATTACAATATGTTATTTTCGTAAACACCTTATAGTGTTATGCCTTATTTGTATAGCGATAAAGTTCATTATAAAGTGTCATTTGGTTTTATATCTTCAATAATAAAATGGTGAATTTTAAAATATAAAAGGAGATGCGTGTTTAAGCATTCATCATACAACTATAGCCTTTCAGACAATCTCAGTACTGAAATATAAAATTCTGTTTTAAAAATGAATTTCGGTAAAATTTTATTTTTCGTTATGGCGTGTTTGGCCGCTTTAAGCATTACAACGGCCAGTCCTAGATGGAAGATATTCAAGAAAATTGTAAGTATTAGAATTATTGAAACTCTTACTAATATTATAAATGCGAAAGTTTAGATGGATGTTTGTTAGAGTTTGTAGACTAAACGGCTGAACGGATCTCTATGATATTTGGCATAGATGTAGAGCATAGTCTGGAAGAACACATAAGCTACTTTTTTTAATACCTCGCGGACGGAGCTAAGAAAGCTAGTAGTATATTTTAAAAGTTATTTGTAAAGTAATAATAATAAATATTTAAAAGGCGTCTTTTTCATTTAACTTTTTTTTTTAAATTAAATAAGTCCTTTTTAATTGTTAACTAGAGATATTGTTTGTTTTGCAGGAGAAAGTCGGCAGAAATGTTCGCGACGGCATCATCAAAGCGGGACCAGCAGTGGCTGTCGTTGGACAAGCGGCAACCGTAGTAAAAGGATAAAGTTCAACTAGTCTACATAAGTAATCTAAGTTTAAATTAAGTTATTGTAAATACTGCCAATAAATTCTTACCTCATTATGTAACCTTTTTATTCAGTTTTTTGTCCCATTTGCAAATAAAGTTCATCATCAACTTGCCCTTATCCCTTATGGAGGGTCGGCACAGTATGTGCTGCTCTTCCATACATCTCTATCAGCGGTCATATCTGAATCCACTCCTTTCTTAAGCACATCCTCTTTCACACAATCTATCCATACTTTCTTCGGTCTTCCTCTTCCTTTGTAGCCATCCACGTTCATTCTAACTTTATTGCGAAAAATGTTAGAACTATTTTATATCTTAGTCAACATTATGAATGCGAAAGTTTAAAAGATGGATGGATGTTTGCTTGTTACAGTTTAAAGCTAAAACGTCTGATTCGATAAAATTTGGCAAAGATTTCCCGCGAGGACAGCTAAACAATTGTCAAATTTATATTTGTTAGGCCTAGCACGAATACTAGCGCTAAAGTAGTTATAACGTTAACGACAAAATTTATATTAGACACCGATCGAACGTAAATCTTATAAAAAAATTGTCGATTGCGTTACGAGTACTTTTTTAAGATAAAATTCAAAGCATGTTTCCGATGATTATCGAAAGTGATATAAAGATCACAGATCTATCAGATGTCAATTG